ACCTATTCTCGTCGATCTCACCGTCTCTTCAGTGTCGAAAAAACTTCCGCGTCTGTTGGAAGGTCGAACTGAACCCCTGAACCCCTGGGCACCTCGTCCAAGGCGAACGAACAGCAGGGCAGCATCGAAAGAAAAACCGTCTTTGGGCACCACTGATTGGGCAAAGACTTGCTGCTGATTGGGCCATCAACGGGTCCTTCGGTCCATTTAATTCGACTCTTGGAAAACCGCCCATGTTCCATCCAGTCTGGTATCCCAGGCTGGCAGAGTTTGCACCAGTACGTCCGGCGCGTTGATATGCATTGATCGTCCGAGAGTGCCAAAGAGGTAGCCATGTTGGGTGGGCCTGGCCGGGCCACCTCTTGGTCCCTTGGTCAACCGGGGATGAAGATGTGCAGTGGATTGGTCTTTCTCAGACACTGGTGGGTCATGGCATGAGGGCTGCCTGCGGACGTACCAGAGAAAATGAACAGAATGCACGGAAGAGAGGTCAACCTACCCTGGTTAGGGGTACCGGGTTTTGACCCACAGCCATGTCAATGTATAAATTCCCAGACACTCCATGTATGGCATAATATATGATATGCCGATCAGTTGGGGTGGTGCCACGGGGGTCAATGAAGGCATATATGGCAAATATATGGTATACATAAAGCATCTCAATATAGGAAATGTGCCATCCATGGAGTGTTTGGAAGTGTTTTGAAGACTCATAGAGAGCCCCCTCATCTGAGCAGATCTGAGTTCCAACCAGCGCAACGGATCGTTCACATGCCCCCTCTACATAGAGAAAAACAGTGGGTTGGACGCCGTAGAACGTAGGTAAACTGAAAGAAACTGAGCGGTCCCTTGCATCTGCAAAACCACGCCACTGAAGGGTTCCTTCCTTTCCACTTACGGGCTTCCAAGCAAAAAATATGGATATTGAGTTGGCGCAATATGGCGCAATGGTGTTCAACTTCCATGCGTCGCCGTCGCCGCTCGTTTTTTTTCGGATGGCGCTCTCCTGGCGGCAGCCACGGATGAAGGCCACCACGTCCAGCAAGTGCTCCTGGGGCATCTTCAAGTCATCGCACCTAGGGTGCTGGCGGAACCCGCCTGCAGGTTCTTTTCAAGGGAAAAGACCAACAAAGCTCAAAGAATCCTAGTTGTTCGACTATCCCAGTTGGGTACCCCAGGTTTTCCGGGTCCTTTTTGAGGTCGCAGAACACCAACCTCTCTCGGGAAGTTCGGAAAAAAAGGTCGTGAAGGAAGTCGCTCCCTGACAGGGGAGAGCGTGAGTGGATGGGCCATCGCTCCCGATCCACCAAATCGTCCGCTTTCGTGGAGGCGATGGCATGTGTGGGCGGACCTGAATCGTGCTTCTGGCAGTCATCTGGACCAAACAAAGGGGGGCGATGGCGCTTGCACGATGGCACTGGGCCCAGTGCGTGTGACGGTGCCGAAGGCATGGGCTGGAAGACTTTCCTCTACAAAACAGGTGGGCGCTCCACGTCACCCAGCACGAGTGGCACGGAGTTTGTCGCACCAACCGACGGATCTGTGACACCGAACGGAACGCGGTCGGCCGACGCGGTCGGCCGAAGCACCGAAGCAAGTCCGGGTGGCGGACCGAACCGGGAGATGGGTGGAGTGCCAGTGAGTCTTCCTCAAGGCCACGCCTCCCAGGTGCCTCAGAAATGATTCTGAAGCAAAAACCATAGGTTTTGGATATGCTTGGATCTCTTCCATGACCAGCATGCAGCGGAGAAGGGCGTTTGCAGGGCTGGTTCCAAAACATCGTGATCATCGTTGATGGTGGTTGGTGTAGTTGGTGATGTGGTTGTGGCTGTTGATGTAGTGGTGGTAGTTGATGTAGCTGTGGTTGTGGTGGTGGAGGCGGAGGTGGTGGTTGTGGTCGTTGTATCTCCCCACCGTCTCTTTGCCTTCGTGCTGCTGGCCTGCTGAGCTGGGCTCAGCGTCGTTTTGAAGATGCAAAACGTGGCTCCCACGCAAACCGTCTCCATCTCCAGTGGCCTTCCGAATCTTTTGCATTCAACTTGAGTGCTCAGATGTTCCGGTATTTTGCCACGTAGCATCCGGTTTGCTTGCTTTGCTTGGTGCCCACACTACAGAGTTACAGTGCCCGCCTGAGATTCTGTTTGAGGGAAAATATGTCATGTACAGGACCAAAATTTTTGCCAACCAAAGGCCGAAGAGACGAGAGACACACGGTCACCACGGGACCAGCCATCGATGCCATCGATCACATTTGTGCCACACGGCTGTGTGGCCAGCTCTGTGTTCCACGTTAAGAATTTCAAAACAAACATGTCGCCGTTTACAAAAGGTTTGTTTAGCAGTCTGGGTTTGCAGTTTTGATCCATTGTATACGTTTCAGCTGGTGCACAATTTTTATCCACTGATGTGCGGAGGAACAATGATTCGAGCATACTAGGCCTTTTTTTGAGGAAAGTTCGCTATACTGACAAAACATCCAAATCCTTCGGTGGAACGCGCTTGAAAATCGGAAAAACTGTGGAAAAAAAACATCTTTCCAAAGGCTGGCCAAGTTTGACGTACGCGCAAAAACCGCCAAACATGGGTCACTTTCTACCTGTTGCAACCGCCCAAACAATAGAGAACTGCGCGGGAGGACTGACGGTCAGGAAGGACTTGGTCAGATCGAAAAAATGGTCATAACTTATCTTGTATTTGGTAGGGCTATAAACCAGTTATAGACATGAATGTCGCCAATGTCTTCACAGTACCAAAAACTATACCCCAACTGAAAAAAAACTGCAATTGGTTCAACTTATTTTTGGCTGCGACTTTTGCAAATGATCCGTTTCTCAAAGTGGAAACCAAACAACAGTTTTCCAACCTAGACCATCCATGTACAGAATATATGCCTACATTGACCCCTCTTCAACCACATCAATGTAGGCAAATATGGCACTCCCAACCAGGTCGTGTCTGGGTTTCTTTTTCGGCGCGTGCAAACTCCGTCCCATCCGAGCTCCATCCAGGCGCGAGGACACCGCGCGACGAAGTCCAAGGGACACGGAGGAGCCGAAGTTCTGGAAGTATAAGGAGCGAAGAGCGTTCAAGCGCGCGATGAACCTGAGTGTGTGGGAGTGATCCCACGCCACCCTCGTTCCTTCAAAAGCACGGATACGAAGAACAGGGCCCAACGACGGCAGCAGGCGAGACATTCCAAAGCCACCCCGAACACCTGAGCAGGTGGTGAGAATAACTATGCTACTTCGAGTGATCCCCACCCTGAAGGCGATTTGTGCGGATTGACACGATGTTCTGACGCTTGTTCTGACATCAAATCTGGTTTGTGCTCTCACACATCAGCTATCATAAAGGCTGGGCTGTGTTCTGACATCTTCGTTGGCGTGTGTTCTGACATTTTTCCTGTCTGACATGTGCTGTGACATATGGACCAACTTCAGTCCTGTTATGTGTTCTGACATGTATTGCGACATGTGTCCTGCCATCAAAGATATCCTGGCGTTCTATCTCTATGTTGTAAAATTGATTGCATTCCACTTACCGTAGCTGCTTGCAATTCATCTGGCATCATTGCTGGCATTCTATCTTCCGTACATTCTGACATTCCATCTGCATGGCATAAATTCTGACCTTCTATCTGGCGAGGCCCGGCGGTGCCGCTGCGATCTGGAGCTGGCCGTCGAGGTCCGGCAGCGCCCACTGCGATCGGGACCTGACGGTTGAGGTTCGGCAGCGCCCACTGCGATCTGGCACTTGCCGTTGATGTCTGGTGCCCACTGCGATCTGGCGCTTGCGGTTTGAGGTCCGGTATACAGTGCCCACTGCGACGTGGCACTTGCAGTTGAGGTGCGGTAGTCCAGGAGACGAGGAGGAGGAGGAGGAGGAGGAGAGCTCTGATAGACTCTAGCAACCTTCGCCTGACAGGTGGGGAAAGCACTTTCGGGGCAACAAAACTGCTGACCGGTCAGTAGACTGGGTGAAACATCCAAGTGGGGATGCAATTGCACGACATGTGCCAACGCCCAAACTCCAATCCAGCTTCTAAATTTCAATGATTGTCTTCAGCGGCTTTCGCCCTTTTTCTCCCCAGACGAACTTGAAAAGCCATCGGCCATCGGGAAGCAAACAGTTCGCGCACACACCATACACAGCGAAGAACATCTCAAGACTTCATGAAACGGTGACGCGAAGCTTCTTGAAGCAACCAGCAGCTTGCCGGAAACCGCACCCCCCCCCAAAAGCGTGGTTAACACACCCCACAGCTTCTCCCAAACGCAAGGCCTTAGCAAAGCAGATTCCCGTATGTCTTTCCTGCAGTCTAACCACCACAAAAAACCTTAGCACACCATGCCTCATGTGGGTTCGTCCGAATCAAATGCAACAAATTGTTTAGGTGCGGGACATTAACGAAGGAATGTGTCTCCATAATGAAGAGGGGCGGCCTGACTAACTCGCAGGGAATGGCTGACCTTCCACAAGAAACCTTCCTCGCAAGTCAGGTCCAACAAGTGAGACGTTCCAAAGCACCTGGAAGGAGGTGGTGGGCACACCTACTGGCCGGTCAGTAGACTGGGGTGAAACATCCAACTGGGGATGCAAGTGCAGGACATGTGGTATGTACCCTTCTGAAGACCAACGTCCAAACTCCAATCCAGCTTCTAAATTTCAATGATTGTCTTCAGCAGCTTTCTCCCTGTTCTCCCCAGACAAACTTGAAAAGCCATCGGGAAGCAAACAGGTTGCACACACACACACACCATACACAGCGAAGGAAGGACACCTCAAGGCAAAGGAGATGGTGACGCGAAGCTTCTTGACGAAGCAACAAGTTGCTCCCCGGCTTTGCGCAAGGGGCATGCAAAGCGGTTTTTATGTCTACTCCAGACTGCCCCTTTGCATCGTCTGTCTTTGGCAACCGCTCAGAGATGTTTAGCGACCACCGGGCACGAAAATGGACAAACCTATAAACGTTATTTGTTTTGAGTAGGCACTATGTCACATCAACTTCTCTCTGGGAACGGAAAGCCCCGCAAAGGCGACGCCCATTCTTCAATAAAGCCGTCAGCACGCGGCCTCGGATGGCATCCGGCATGGATACTATTTCCTTTGTGATTCAAGCGATGCGACCCCCTCACATCATGGCAGCTCAGACATGGCAAACACACAATGAAGATCACACAGGAACATAAGCAGGAATAGTGATCCAAACTCCAGCCGATAGTCACACATTATTTAATACTTAAATGCATATGGTCGTAATTCCATGTTCTCGACAAGTGGGCCTCGTGCAAGAACTTCTTATGAACATAATGATAAAGTCTCCTAATATATGCATACCAATCACCAAGGCAGTGCCCGAATTTTGATGCGACCGCTTGGGCACACAGTCCCCACAACTAGGAAGAATCGATGCGACTCAAAGGCCGCGACTGTAGCCAGCTTCTCTTTTTGAGTTCATTACCACCAGGCACATCCAGGCGCAGCTTTCATTCTATCTCAATTCCTCTCCGAAGGAAGATGTTCAACGTCCGACTAAGTGAGGCTGAGGTGGAGGTCTGAGAACGCCACACCATATACCGTAAGCCCTCTAGACTAGGGGCCAAGGTGTCAACTCACCACCCCGACCGGTGGACTTCTTGGCACCAATGGGATGTTGAAAGGTTAGCAGCTCCGAGCACTTCGAAGAAACGAGCTGAAACCCTGGGAGAAGTTACGCCACCCACTGGGCTCATATGACTGTCGTGCCCGTTTGGGCTTCCTGTGGGACTGAGCTGGCACCCACCCTGTCCGACCGAACCTTTAAACTTTGGACAGGAGTCCAAACGGGATGACTCCAGCACTCCAGCCAGTGCCGAAACAACACCCACGGACAATCCATCCGACAGTCGCGTGTGCGATCCATCGCACACTCTTATCTCAAGGGATGTCAACACATCAAAGGCCGTGGCTCGAACCGGTGGAGAAAATGATTGACCATGTCTACGAACAGAACAGAACATGCAGCCAGCCCGTCATTGGCAGCTTCCTCCTCACAGTCGAGACGAATGATCGGTGGCCCAGGTACAAATAGTTTCTCGAAGTCATGTCAAAGCTGTCGCGCTGCAAGAAGTTGTCTGCAAAGAAGCGGACGCCGGGCACATCCGGAACAAATTACGAACAGAACCTTGATTGGAACATATTGGTAAGAACCCCCAGCAACCCAAAGCAGATGTGCATTCATCATGTTGCTTCTTGCGTTCCATATCCCAGACACGACCTGTTTGAGACTGCCATCGGACTGCCGCCTACATTCACCCCTCTTCAACCACCCCTGGCCGTTTTGAAGGCAGTCCGTCCTGGCAGTCCCAAACAGGTCGTGTCCGGGATATGGAACGCAAGAAGCAACATAATGAATGCACATCTGCTTTGGGTTGCTTTGGGTGTTTCCCGTGTCCGCGAACCAAGCCAACGACGGGTCCGGCGCGGGGGTTCCTGCTCAGGTCTGTGGTGGAGATCCAATCGCCGACCAATCGGCGCATGGATTGAGGGGCTAGACGGGTCGGTGCTGTACTCTCTCTAGTAGCTCCAGTATGTAACACATGTAGTAGCTCCAGTACTAGTTGCCACATGCCATGAATCCGATTCGGATCTGACGGTCTTCAGGCGAGCGACGGGTCAGAGTCATCCACTCTGCCCAAAAGTGGACGATCTCTGACCGATCTGCTCGCCCCAAGACCGACCCAGTACCACGAATGCACCCAGCGCCCGCCTGGCCTGAGGCCGGCTGGGTCCGTCAGTCCCATGGATGGTCTGGGACTACACTCCTGGGTGTGTAGATTTACTGGTCTGGGACCCTCCCCGTGAGTGAAGGGCACCGGTTGGGGTGTTTTTTTTCTATTGGGGTGTTTTTCCCGAAAGCATTGCGAAGGGTTCTTCCGGAAAATCCTTTGAACACTGACACTTCGACACTTACACTTCGACACTCACACTTACACACACACACACACTGGAAGAGCGAAAGCATCCAAGTGCGAAGTATGCCAGTGTCAACGTATGCAAGTGTAAGTATGCAAGCATGATATGCAAGGGTGAGTATGCAAGCATGCAATGACTATGCAAGCATGCAATGAGTAGGCAAGTGTGAGTATGGACGGGAGATGTCCTAATGAAAAAACATTTCCCCACTTTATAAATTCTCTCTT